ATGAAAAAAAGTCGCAGAACAAATAATGGAAAATGATTTACTATTATTATTGTTGTTTTTATTTCTATTATTATTTATTATTATTATTATTATTATTATTATTATTATTATTATCATTACAATTATCATTGTAGTAGAGTACTTATTTCTAGAGAAGAAATGCAGGAACTAATCCCTGTGGTTGGTATAGGTGTTGAACTAAGCCTTTAAGTCCTATTGCTGTCTTTAACGTTAGTTTAGGAAACTGTTCTCTTTTTATCACTTGTGGTTTTCCATAGGTGTTTTTGATTATTTGATGCCCTCATAACATTTATATTTATTATTGTCATTGTTACACATTGGGGGCTCTTCTTGTTCTTTTTGTCTTTTCAAGTGCATTTTTTGGAGTTAATATTTTCTGATAATCAGGGAAATGGAACCGTTTCCAACGTGTTAGCTATTATTATGTGACCTCTGTCAGGAAGTCGAGCAGTCGTAACTCGTCGTGTCACACATATTTGAAGAACTACCTTTTATTTATCTTCCTGATGCTGAATGTCCCTTTTTTTTACTCTGTGTCTCGACCTCTTGACCTGTTCAAAGCAAACAAATCTCCAGGAGACAAAACAACAAAGAAAAGAAACAAAAAAACTGAAAATGTCATCAACTCTGACTTTGATTCTTGGACTAAAGGGGGACTTGGCAAACACAACAAACGCACTGACAAAAGGAGAGAGGTTGAAAATGGCTTCAGACAATGAGAAACACTAAATCAGTCGCTTTTCCACATGTTTCCCTCACACGTTCACTGACACATGCATCCAGAGTTGCACACATAGCAGTCAAAGACAAAGGCAGCACAGTTGTGTTTCTGTGTGGCTCTGGGATGGAGAGAAAGAAAAAGTGAAAGAACAGAGGGAGAGAGCAGCTGCTGGTGGGGGTGGACAGAGCCGCTCCAGCGCCACACAGACAGATCACTCTGGAAAGAACGCATCACTTGTGCTCGTTTGTCGAGCTGTCACATTTTAATCCCCGGCCGGGCACATTTGGGAACCAACTTCACACCCCTCCACCTAACACAGAGCCCCATAGCAGACCCCCACCCCCAACCTACCAGTCAGTCAGCCCTGCAGCTGTCAGCACTTCCACCTCTGTGCTGCTGTAGTCTGGTGTCAGGTACACACTCCACAAGCACGCTCACACAAACACACATGCACACACACACATACACACACACACACGCTTTCACCAAAGCCACCCCAACAACTGGCCTGCCTCATGTCTGTCAAGAACACCAGGTGGGATGGAGAGGACAGGGGGGTTTGACTCTTTGACGTTATGTTGGTCTGTGTGCCTTACATTTTTACTGCTATTTAAGAGAAAAGAAAACCAGAAAAAAAGAAGAAAAGAAATCTACTATTTAAGATATTTATTTTTGAGGGTTGACTATGTTGACGCTCTGAGAGTAGAGACTTAGTGGCGGTACTGTATTAATAATATCATTATGTACTCATCTCAAGGCATATATAAGTTATTGATTAGTTTTAGTAATAATATTATTATAATTATTATTATTATTAACATACTCAACCAAAAATGTTGATGTAGGAGTTATTTAAGACACTGTTATGTGCACTGTACTTTTATTTTTTATCTTTTTCTTCAGAACATGACATTAAATATTAGCTTAATGCCTTTATGCCTTTTGTAGGGAAGAAACCTTTATTTAAATGCAGGCCTGTTTGCATGCAGATTGTACTCGGCCTCTTCTGTGTTTAGATAAGAGGAAAAAACAATAATAATTCTGACAAAAAAACAAGCTAAAATGCTGCTTTCTCCACTAGAATGTATAGTTGTCGTCAAGGTTTCAGTAGCTGTGCTTCTTTTGCTTAATATTCATCAGATGGGCTATTTTACAATGTTGGGAATTTTTATACTTGAACTATTTCTTACAAGGGAAATATGAAAAACTAAATGACAAAAAAAACTTTTTAAGGAAGCTTTTCATTGTCACTGGATGAAGGCATGTAAATTGTTACTATTTAAATGCAAAGGTCCTGTTGATAATAAAACCTTTACTTCAGAATTTCAACACCATTTACTCAAAATTGGAATAAAATGATCTATATTTAAATAGCTTGGTGACTTTTCTTTTTCTTCTTCGTCGTGTGATCTTTTATCCTTCTATACATACACCTATAAATATATAATCAATATATTTTCTTTGTGCCTGCTATGTATGGAAGTGTTCAATATTAAATAAACACAAAAGACATAGTGAAATAAATAATCACATAAATAATTTGTGTAAAATATAAAACTGAACCAACAGTTTGCATGAAAACAAAGAAAAATCTTATTGTTTTTTTAAATTCATTATAGACAATCTAATTGCATTTTATCTCATATTGTCACTTTTAATATTGTCAATTTGATTTCACTTTTCATGACAGTGTTGTCAACGACCCACTCACCTTTCAGCCTATCACATGCCTCTTAAACTAGCGAGCTCAACAAATGCAACCAAATTTAGCCAGTTAATACCTGTCAGCTAGAGCTACAACAATGTCAAAGGAATTCTGAATCAACTAACTACAAAACAATACAGTAAACAGAGACAGTAACAACTCGTCTACTTTTATTGAGCTTAACAAGGCTGCTAATGCCACCTATGTAGCCGGCTAACTAGACTGGGCTGTGAGCTTGAATTAATACTCAAAGTGAAGAGCCAGTGTTAGCACTTAGCCAGCTGTTGACCTGAGTGACCACAGAGGAAGCCTTTTGTTCTACACAAAGTTATGTGTGTTTTTCTGAGGAGCATCTTTAGATTCAAAACATGACGAAATTATCTACAGATCAACCAGCTAACATGAGATGCTCCTATTTATACTGTCAATTCACTTTGAAATTTATTAATAATCTAGGTGCACATCCATACCGAGCAATTTTAAAATGTGCAGCTTTGTAAGATAAATAAAAGCAGAGGTTAGTTAGTGTGTTTGTTTACAGCAGGAGCTAGTTGGTTGATTCTGAATAACATTGACGTTGTTGCTCTAGCTAACTGGATAAAGCTGGTAGCATATTGAGCTGGCTAGCATAAGAAGCTAGTTCCATGTGAGAGTGTTAGTGACTTCACCAATCTCATGACAAGTGACATTATGAAACAAAAAGTGACTTTTAGTTATATATTTTCTTATGAAATAAAAATTCCTGTTAAACTAAACTAAAAACCTGGTTATTACGTAAATAGGAATCAACAGTTAGTGACAATGAGTTTTAATAATTTCTTACATTTTCCTTTACAAATAAATTTTTCATTTATTTATTTCAGACATTTTATTAATTTAATTATTTAATTATTGTTTACTTCTTTAATACTGAACACTTCGGGGCTCCATAGCCTGCATATGTTTGTGAGTTTGAATGAGTGTGCCTTCTTTCTCTGTCTGCAAGGTGACAAACACATCACACATGCCAGATGCTGCACTGCTCCTCCTCACTGTGAAACTTGAAATCTTGAGGAGACGTTATTTGAAACACCCTCACATTACAGCCACACCTACAGTTAACATGGATACAACTGACACATAATAAAATCTCTCAGGACTCAGACTATCAATGATTCATCCACTCTCTAATCAATAAGTCATGTTATAAAGAGTGTGCTGCTGTGTCTCTGCCTTCTTTTACTCGGCTCCAGGGAGTATTTTTGGTCCCTGGTGAAACATGAAACAGGCCCAGATGCTAGGTGGGTGATCATGACACAGTGTGGACACAGCGAGACTTTGTTGGTGAAATCAGCTCTATCACATCTGACCTCATAATGAATACAATTAAAGCTGTGACTGATGATGTAGAGCTTTGAACGAGTTCTGGTGAGACTTTAAAAGGGCATCCAAGATCAGATGTACCTTATAATGTCTTCTGTGGCTCTAGATTCTAACATCACTTTCTAATAAGGCACCATTTTTACAAGTGGCTTTGTAAACAAGTATAATCTTCTAAAGATCCGTTATAAGTCATTAATATGAACTGCAATTATAAAATGAGCACATCGAGATCAGCTTGCTGTTCATGAATAGTGTGTAGTCTTGCTAGCTTGTGAAAACAGTGTCTCTTATGTAGCTCTAGAGGAACTTTGTCAAGTCCTAAAACACAACCCAGATGATGTCGTCAACTTGACGTGGGATTTAATTACAGCAGGTGGGGTCTAACGCTTCAATCAGGTCATATCAATCAGACCGTAGTTGTGAGCAGTTAAGTGAGAAATAAAAAGACATTCATGTCAGCTTTTGAGTTGTAATCGTGAATCTGAGATATTGGGGATTTCTTGGCAGTAATGATATCTCATGTGTGGTAAGAATAACTACAAGTGACTACTGACCGTTGGCAACATGGATACAAAGTTGCATTGGCAGTTGCATATAACCCAATTAATTAACATCAGTTTAGCTAATTAAAAATAAGCCACTGTTTGTTTGTATCTGGTTTTACTTGTTAATAAACCACTACAAATACATGACACACCAAAAATCATTTAGAGGCAGATTAGGGTGCCGACCATGAACTGGAACCACCTTTGTTGCATGTCATTCCCCATATCTCATAATTATGTGGTGTGAGTACAATGCTGGCGGCAGCTAACCGGAAGTTCTCTTCCCATTCTGATGACATGTTGCATGAACACAGCATAATTATAGATGTGATCAAGTTGCATTATGGGAAGAATCCATTGTTTTTGGAGTTGGGCAATCAAAAAATCACATAACTTTATGAAAGTGCAATACTAAATGGGCTGAGTACCCCTTTAAAATTCACTGATCTATTTTTATTATTAAATTGGACACCTGTTGGCTGGTTAAGTGCTCTCTGAGTTTAAAATCTACTTTGCACCTACATCAGCAGTTGAAGTAATCGTGTTTAAGAAGTATTTGATGGGGCTTTCCATGTTAGGGGCAAACCTTGGCCCGAGTTCACTCGCATAGACTCTTTGAATATGGTGATGACTTCCCTGTAAGAACTGGTCCGTTCCCTCAGGACAGACGCGACTTGCAGACATTGCCACAGCCTCAAACGGTCGCCTATTTATAGCAGGACTCTCTGGCTGCCATGTTGCTGCCTGCCTCGTCCGCCCCAGAGGAGATACTGCGGCTCTGAGTCACGGTCCTGGATCTGCGCGCTGTGTGGCTCTCAAGTTCACCGTGTTGCTTAATTAGGACATCCCGGAAGAGTATCTGTCCTGTGCGCAGAGTGACGGTGCAGGGAGGCAGGAGGGGGACCCTGCGCAGCAGCACACAGCCACGAGCCCGTCCTCAACAAAATATCGGGAGAGAAATTTACCGCGGATCAGAGGAGTAAGGTAAGTTGTTTCTACACCGACGAGCTTCTAACTAAATATCAAGTTTGGGGTAGAGGGGATAATGTCCTGCAGTGGGGGTGCGCGACAGAGATGCGTCTCTGCAGAAATGTCCAAACAGAGACATCTTCACCTGCTTCCTGTGCGCCATGGTTTCTTAAATTTAGCATGAATGTGTCGCAACACCGTAGCCTACTCCCTACTATTTTCTTTGATCTCGTTTGTCTTTTGAGTAACGGTGATATTGTGGCGCGGGCCATGAAGCATCAGATTTGAGGGGCGGTGAAAGTGCCAGCGCCATGTCATGTTTTATTATGATGCCTGGTCATACTTGGCCTGTGAGCGCCTGTGTGATGAGCCCCTGTAATCACACAATGTGAGTTTCAAACAGCATCTTAGCCCATAGATTATATGCTGTAGATTTTCTGAGTTAAGTCCATTTTAGTTGACCAAACACTCTCACCTCAGGGTCCATTTAGTAGCTTTTGGAGCTTTCAATTGTATCACATTTCCTACATGTTTAGAGTTAAATGTTACCTCAACTCTTACTCTGGAACTCTTTTAATTTAGGCTAAAAACCAACATGGACAGGAAAACTGATGGTATTGAAGAATAGCCAATTAAATGGACCATTGATTTCCTAATTACATAATCAACTGCCTCTAATAAGCTCTCTTTATAACCACATTCACACCTGTTTCTAGCCTAAAGTCTTATTCAAATGCTTGATCTTAATCAATAGGCCCATTTTACATTGACTTCATGGAGTTTGTTTATTGACTATTAACTATTTTTGGCTCTATTTAGTATCTCATCTGGCTATCTATCTTACTAAAATTTAAAAATCATGAAGCCTACTCAATTATATTGAATAAACTACAAATTTAGTTTTTTAGTTATTTTTGATGACAGAAAGCAGTTTTTCTTTCATTAACAGCATACTGACAGTATCAGCTTCCTGTTTTGCTATACTGATAAAAACACTAATTTACTGGATTTATTTACAAAGATTTACTACATCGTTAATCTCCACAAGGTACAGTACAGGGCAGGATTAGAATATCGTACAGTAGACCCATAGCAGCAAACAGCAGGCTGCGGCCCAATATAGCCCCAAAGATCAGATACCAGGCCGCTGGGTTCAGGAGACAGGGTTGGGGTGAAGTCAGAAATATCGTTCCTCTCCAGGAACATGTGCGCTTTCTCAGCTGTTGGTTGGGGTCTTTACGAAGCAAAACTGCCGCCCAACTGTCTGCAGGACCAGAGGGAGGAATTTGTTCATTTACTGGGAGCTAAAGTCCATCAGTGTCTACTTAATTCAACTGCTGAAAATTATTAAGAGATGAATCAGAATCAGAAATACTTTGTGAGTTCCAGTGACTGCAACACTTGTGCCATTGATGGTTTGAACCCCCTCTGGCTGTGTCCCATTCACATTCTGTGGTGGGCTTATTAAGAGTGTCACAGGCCATGTCTTTGCATTGCCATGGAGAATTTGGCTGGTTGACAATATAATCAATGCAGACGCAGGCTGTTTCTGTTTTATGGTTGTTAAACAAGGTTTGACATTATTATTGAGCAAGACAGTGACCTGAGCAAATATCCTTTGTCCTCTATTTAATGTATAGAATTTAAAGCCGCAACCATATGGCAACAAATGATTATTTACACTATCGTATAATCTACTGATTGTTTTCTCCATCAATCAATTCACCATTTTGTCTATAAAACATCAGAAAATTTAAATTTATTAGAGTCTGAGGCTACATCCACACTACTACGTTTTTGTTTTAAAATGCAGAACTTTTGCTGCGTTTGCACCTCCCATCTAGACTGAAATAGCGACTCCAAACGGAAGACCTAAAACGGAGAAGTTTGAAAACACTGCTGTCCCCGTTTTTGTTTTAAAACTCCGGGATAGTGTATTAGTGTGGACAGGTGAAAACAGAGGACTTTTAAAACGATGACACGGATGCTCACATCTGGCTTCCTGATTGTGTCTTATAAGTCATGCACTGCAATGAAACAATGCTACTAACTTTTTGTTTTGGTTTTTTATTAAAATATTTTGAACTTTATACTTCCATGTTACTGCATCAATAGTTCCACCTTATTGTCAGTCCATGCAAAAAAATCTTTGGTGTGGTTCTTTCTGTAGTTACTTTCTTAAAAAAGTAGTGTTGATGTAGCCTGATGTCTTTAAAGAGGAATTTACCACCCACTGAAATTCCGCTGTTTTTGCTAAACTGTCTGTGGTTTAATCTCTCACCTTGCCTCAGTGATGTACAGGTGTACTCAAAGGTGCAACAGAGCACATTTCCGATCACACATATCCGTGATGCTGATTGTGGTCAGAGGTGAAACAGGCTTTAAACCAAGAGGGCAATAAAATACTGCTTTTCAGCCAAGCTATTCTGTTGACTATAGGTAATGTAAGACAAGGAAAAGTAGCAAATCCTCACATTTGTTGAAACTTTTGCTTAAAAAATTACAAAATTACAAATGATGAATTGATTATTGCAGATTACTTATCTAATGATCAGCTAATTGATTGATCGACTAGGTGTTTCAGCTCTGATCAAATTACAATTTCAAGGAATACAGCTTTATCTGAGCCATCATCTAAGTATAGGGCACAATTTATTATAAAGGCTTTATACGTTGAAACTAATAGCTTTAAAATGTTAAAAAATCACTTACTACTGTTTTATACAACGTGTCGTCATACCTCAACAACAAAATAGGTTGATTGTTACATGCCCCAAAATGACATATAAGACCGTTCCCAAAACAGACACGTGAGCGGTTCCCATACTAGTCCAACGACAGTCAAACAATTGTACTTTTGGTTATGTTTTGGCAACAAAATCATTTAGTTAGGTTCAGGAAAAGATTGTGGTTAGGATTAAAATATGTACATTACATAAATCATGTGACATAACTAATCTTCAAAATGTTATTTAACTTAAAACATGTCACCTTTGTCTTTCTTCCATATGGGACTCGAATCTCAATCTCCAGAGTGAAAGTCCTGAGTTTACTTGACTCATCCATCCCACCACTCTCCTTACACTTGCTCTATACTATGTCATCGGACTTCCTCTGCCACTAAAGGTAGCGTCCAAACAAAAAAATTCATCAAATTAAGCCATCCAGTCTGCTGTTATAATTCTGTAGTCTATATTTTCATAGGTCGTTAATAAAGACTGGAAACAAGGCAAGTGTTATGCTCAAAAAGAATTAACAACCAGCCAAATATGGCTTTCGAAACCTGGCAACCCAAAGGTTGACCAAACATTTGACTTGTAATAATTTTTATACATACAATATTATAACAATAATAATCGTATTTATAGCATTTTGTTTCTTTTTTTCTGCTAGAACAGCCAATCACATGACAGCCACTCAATGCATTTAGGTATGTAGACGTGGTCGAGACAACCTGCTGAAGTTCAAACCAAACATCAGAATGAGGAAGAAAGGGGCATTAAGTGACTCCACAACCATAGGGTTTACAGAGAATGGTCTGAAAAAGAGAAAATATCCAGTGAGCAGCAGTTTTGTGGAATGAAAATGCCTTGTTGATGTCAGAGGTTAGAGGAGAATGGGCAGACTACTTCGAGATTACAGAAAGGCAACGGTATCTCAAATAACCACTCTTTACAACCAAGGTATGCAGAATAACATCTCTGAACGCAAAACTCATTGAACCTTGAAGCAGATGGGCTACAGCAGCAGAAGACCACAACGAGCGCCCTACTGTCAGCTAAGAACTGGAAAATGAGGCTACAATTCGCACAGGCTTACCAAAATTGGACAATATAAGATTGGAAAAACCTTGCCCGTTCTGATGAGTCTCGATTTCAGATGCAACATTCAGATGGTAGAGTCAGAATTTGGCGTAAACAACATGAACGCATGGATCCATCCTGCCCCATATCATTGTACTCCAATGGCCTCCACAGTCACCAGATCTCAATCCAATAGAGATGTGGTGGAACGGGAGATTCAAAACATGGATGTGCAGCCGACAAATCTGCAGCAACTGTGTGATGCTATCATGTCAATATGGACCAAAGTCTCTGAGGAATGTCACCAAGACCTTGTTGAAAGTATGCCAAGAAAAATTAAGGCAGTTCTGAAGGCAAAAGGGGGTACAAGCTGCTACTGGCGAGGTGTCCCTAATAAAGTGGCCAGTGAGGGTATATATGTGTGTATATATACACACATATATATCAAAGTAAATTATTTATCATTATACAATGCAAGGTTGTACAACAAAATGAAAGTTTGTAATCCCTTCATGATACACACATAAAACATAACAGATAATTAAATTTATATATATACGTCTGGAAACACTTGTGTAGTGCATTTTATGAATTTGCGTCTGAGAGAATGTGAACAGCATTAAGATGGTGATGATAAAAAAAATAAAAATAAAAAATGATGGTGATGATAATATGGCATGACACCGAAATAAAAAATAGCTATACATCTTGTATAAGAAAACCAGAAAGCTGAATATCAGTAAGAAGACATTGGCATTGCTGCACCACATGTGACTTGTTGCACATAACCAACCTACATTGAGCTCTCCATGTTTCGGGTCTTGCCTAAGAGCTGTTGTGACCCAGAGAGCAGAAATAGCAGCTGAGTCCTGCGACAGGCATCTGCCAGAGAGAGATGAATTGATGACGCCCATCAGGACATGTTTGCTGCTCACAGCACATAATTACCAAACATGATTTATAAAGATTACAGACAGGGAACACATTCCAATCTACGTAGCTGCCATATTAATGCGGAGCCTCCTGGAGTTTTTTATAGATCATTTGTCAAACAAATAAAACAGATTATAACTCACACCATTTGATTGTGTCTTGGACATAATGGTCGTGTGCGTGTTACCTAGCTGTAGTTTACGTAAACATGCAGTGGGTTGCTGGGTAAAATTTCCGCTCTGTTGACTAATAAATATTGGGAACAGGCCTGCATTGCCTCATGGTGATGTATATGGCTCTTCAGTGTTAGAGATACAATTTGGTCTGTGTTGCTATCTCCAATGTGTTTCGGTGGCATTTGATTACAGCATGAGATTTGTTTACCTCTTAGCCGGAAGCTAACCTTGTCAAATCTGTCTGCATTATCAAGAGTGTCTCATCTCTTTGTTTGTGAGTTGTTCCCATCATGAGGAAATCTTAGAAGGAGTTACTCTGATACAACAACTCGTGGATTGTAGGCCTGAACTAGTACTATTTCTGTAACAAAATGCCTTACCTTGGAAATTTATGGTGTTCAACATTAAATAAACACATAATCATATGTAATTCAAGGAAATTAGCCAAATAATGTAAGCATGACCTGGTGAAATCAGCTCATTATTCCGAACTATTATGTAGTCATTTTTATTAAGAAAAATCAAAATGTCCTTTTTGCAATTTCCATTTTTATTTCTTCACTTTGGGTCTCAATAGGCCGAAACAGGAAACACTTCTTTCTATTGTCTGTGTCTGAAGATACTTTATATTTCATCTTTCTTTCATTTTTTTTTGCACTAAATTCTCTGACTTTCCTCTCAGCCTGGCTCCAGTCTCTGTCCCTCCTTAATCCAATTGTACGATATGTTCAGGAGGTTGTGGCTGTGGCAGAGGGCCAGACAGCTAAAACAGAGACGGTGTTCAGAAACCCCCGCTGCATTGGCTACATTTAGTTTTTCATGGGCCAGCTTTTTGAAAACAGGGAGCAGCAGGGTGGGAAAGTTGAATAGCGACTCTGCTGAGGATCCAGTACTCATCTCTCACCTCCCTGTTGAGAGGGGAAAACAAACATTTTCTTCTTGGATCAATAAACTAAAACAGCACACTGTATCACAAAATGAATCATCAGCCTAAGATTAGAAAGGACAAAGCGCAGTTTAAGAAACAATTCCCCCTTTTGTCTCTAGGTTTGTCGCCATGGAAGGTTTAATGGAGCGGCTGGAGCGGGCTGTGACTCGCCTGGAGAAGATGTCCATCATCATGCAGGCCTCCAACGGCATGGCTAACGGGGATTGTGTCAACGGCATCGATGGAGGCAAGTCTGTGCTTCAATAAGACTCAGCTCGGAGGTTTGGGAGACAGAGCAAAACAGCATTATTCATAAGTTAAATAGTCACTAGGTACATTTAAGTTAAAGCTCAACATGAGAGCAGTGATTTTTCCCTGTGTTTAAAGGTTTGTCTCAGTGTGTCGAGGCCTTTGACGTCATACTGAAAGGTCCAGTCTTAGACTACCTGAACAACAGCCAAGCCATAGGAAACGAGGTGGAGAAACATGTAAGTTGTGTTTGGTTCGTTCACTAAAATGTCTCTAAGCAGTGACTGATTCGGCCACTTTTTTGCCCTGGGTTTTGCCTTTCAACACGACATCCCTGGCCAGCCTAAAGAGGAAGCTGGCAGTACTACTCAGGCATGAAAATCTGCTTTTATTTACAGATTATTCTCCCAAAATGACACAAATTCAGTTAATGCAGTAAAGGACAGCACTCTTTGTACTTAAAAGAGAAATTTAACATTTATTTTACTATTTCTTTGGTATTTTCTATTTTGATAGATGAATGTAAAAACATGTAGGAAACAGCATTTATATACTTAAACAACTTCTAATTTCACTTCTGAAACTAAATATACACCCTTGATACACACTCTCCCCACATATTCATAGTATGCAGTCTCAGCACTCCACACAAATGTTGGGTGACGATGAAACCTCAGACAAACATCTGCCCATGCACACACTCGTGCACGTTCTGCAGCAGACAGATGTCTCCACAGCTGCTGTCCTATGAATCTGTTGTTACAGATTACAGTTGGCAAAAGCAACTATTAATCATCTTTCAAAGTGGCACTACACAACAAGTTCAGTTTTCATCATGAGGAGTAATAAAAAAAAAACATTTCTCCTAAAAGTTCCCCAGCTTAATGGAAGTCTGATGCTAATTGCTGGAGCTCAATTTAACTCTAATAACTCAACTGGACATTATTGTAATGATAGGTCTTCCATCCTACTTGATTAAACCATCCTCACAGTTGCTAAATAACTTGAAATTCTATGTGTGTTTTGTATGAAAGTAGATGGAATAAAAGCTCTTCAGAAAGAGCTGAGCTCCACTCTAAAGGGAGCACAGATGGATACCAGTGGAGCAACTATTACCGTCTCTCTGTGCCAACCTTTATTTGATTAGACATACACTTATAAACAAACAGGGATTGTCCTGCTTTAGTTTTCACTAAAAAATGCACAGCTCTGGAAAGCTGAAGGATGTTGATGTGTGTGTGTCTATGGGAGGTCTATGGCCCAAAAGTAGATATCAGTGAGGTGTACTCGTGTGTGCATGTAACTGAAAAGGTTTCCTGTCCTCTATAAAGCCATGGATGGGAGTATGATTGAACTTTCAAATCTGTTAGTTGAGTACTTTTTATTTTCTGGTATTGACCTGTACTCCCACTAGGACTGTAAGTGTGCTTTATGGTACGCCAGTTGGCAATAATAGCTGTGTCATGTCCAAAACAACAAGACGTGCTCCAAAACAGAAGAGTAAAGGCAGGCAGAGGGAAATTACAGCAAAAATGTAAGAAAAAGATTGCTTGTATTTCTTCCTCTGGAGCTTTAGAAGAAGACCTCTATCTCTGTGTGCCATCACTGAATGGGGTGAAAAGGAGGGAGAGTGCGAGCAAGAGATTGCAGAGCTCCTTTTATGGACAAAGCCTCCCTGGTGGTTCCCTTGGCCCTCAACTGGAGGTCTCAAACACACACAGGACACAGCTGGCTGGGACTTACCCAAACTCTGTTTGTGTGTGTGTGTGTGTGTGTGTGTGTGTGTGTGTGTGTGTGTGTGTGTGTGTGTGTGTGTGTGCTTTCCTTTTTATGTCTATGACAGACTGCCGTGATTTTCATGGGCGTGAGAGAACACAGTAAAGCGTAAACAAATGAGAATCAAAGAATGTCAGGCAAATATTTTTTCAGGGCACTGTAACATTGTCTATATTCGGTATACACAATATAGTAATTTGCTGCTGATCTGACTTTGATTTTTTGTGATCGACAGGCAGAGATGGTGAACGACGCCCTGCAGACTCAGAGAGCTTTGCTCAAAATGGCTGCCACGCACCAGGAGCCTGCACAGGTATAACATACTGAAACCTACTGATGGTGTGACCGCTGCTGTGGTCACTGTTGACCTACTATATAAGACTGATTACTTAACTATCTGTCAGGTGTATTGCAACACAAGGAGTAAATGGATTAGTGGTTAGGGTTTGCCTGAGAACGACCTGTATTTCATCTAAAGGTCACTGATAGAATTAAAGGAAGCTGTGAGTCCAGTGTGCAGTTATTCCTTGTATTGCAATTATATTAATTCTTTGATATCCAGCAGGTATACCACTGCACACAACTTCTCTAACTTTTTCTGACAGGTATGTTCTCAAAAAAATGTTGACCTTTGATTACATCAAATTTTTAAAAAGTGAGTGAATAAATACAAACTATTTCTAAATTACTTATATTAAACCTTCAATGTCAGTGTTTTTTTCTTAATTAACAAAACTCAAATATTTCACATTTAGGAACAAAAACTCATTTTGAAACCACTACTGACACTTTCCCTTTATAATCTGAGACATGAGCTAGAATGTAAAACTATAAGGTTTGAGGTACCCTGGAAATCTAAGGCTGATCATAAACCCCAATGTCACTGGTTCAAATCTGGCTGTGGACCTTTGTTGCATCTCATTCTCCATCTCTCTCTCCTCATTTCATGTTGACTGATTGATAAAGATACAAAAAAAGTCCCCTAAAACAACAGTTAATGTTATTTAATGGTTAATTATTAGCAACAGACATCATGAGTGCCAGCCATCACATCACATTTACAGTTTAGGTAACATTGCTTGTCCCATTGCCATTGTTGTTGTTTACAGTATTCTCTATGTTGGTTTTAGTTGGCATCAGATGTTTGACATTTAACAGCAGCTGGACATAGGAATGAAGTGTATCTCAGTCCTGGGTGTCAGTCTGTGTCCTCCCCTCCTGTGTTCCCCAGCATGGAGGGCTGTTCACAGAGGGATTACTCTGCTCTTTGACTAAGAAAAACGCTAATACAACACATTCCCAACATGTTCACGTATAGAGAAAGGGGGGTGGGAGAGAAAGCTGTGTGTGTGTGTGTGTGTGTGAGAGAGAGAGAGAGAGCTGATATGATATCATCCCATTGGCCTTCTGTTTGTGTTGTGTGTGTGTGTGTGTATGCAGGATGCGCAGAGCCCACCAGGAAGTGATTACTCCCTATCTGTCAGGTCATTGGTTAGGAGGCGGTGAAACGAGCTCGGTGAAACGAGTTCAGTGATTGTCAGAAATACAAACAAGGAAAGAGTGAGGGTTTTTACAGAGAGAGAGGGACAGACCCATTAGAGGGGTGGGGTGACAGCAGAGAGAGATATGGGGGAAGAGGTGGTCAAATTCGGCCAAATGGGCAAACCCAAAACAAAAAAGGGACAAAAACCTTCATGAGCTCCCTTTAAGTCTTGTCCCCTTATGTAACATGTAATTGTCATAATTATTTGTTTTTCTGTCAATTTTCTAAACAAACTTAGTATGCAGTCGAACTGTAGACTTGAGATTTGAAACTCAGAATGAAGTCACAAAAATGAGGACTTTAGACTTAACTTGGACTGCTGACCCTGACTTGACTTAAGACTTAAGAATGCAACAACATTCAATTCCTTTTGAAGATTTTATCTTGTTATGTCCTGGAACAGTAAAAAATTATTAACGAAGTGCCAGATTAATTAATTAATATTGCATTAGCGAAAAACCCCTCTACTAACAGGTTTAAAAGCAAAATGTTTAGATGTCATGTGATTTTAATGGTCAGCTTTCAGATTTTTCAGCAATTCAAGCTGAAAAACTTGTAGCTCGACTGCTTCACTAACTTGGCTTGAGACATGACCCAAAAGACGTAAAATGACTCTCGTATCAGATAATTACAACCATACTGCTTAGTAAAATTTGACAATCTCATAATTTTAAGATAAAAGAGCTATCAATTTAATTGCATTCATAGCATCATATCCCAAAAGTCTTATGCTGAAGGTAGCAATGGGGGAAGATTTAGGACTTGTGAGCCTTTATACCATTAGACAACTCAAGATGGTTGTATGAATGCAGAGTTGGTCACGGGAGAGTTGAATGACAACATAGCAAGATATCCCTTAAATGTTCATTTAATTAAGATGAACGACAGATATTGGTGGACATGTTTACTTGAGTTTTTAGGCATTAGTCCCAGTAGCAACGTCATAGCCTCATGGGAGCTATAGCTGTTGAATGCTTACAAAATATTATCTTATATAATAATTATCTTAAATGGGATCTAAAATGGGATAATCTGGGATTCACATATTTCCTTTGACACTACAGTTGTAGTAATTTACCTTTAGAATAAGGATGTAAAATCACAGTCATGTTTAAGAAACTCTCCATGAGAAAATCCATTGTGAAGCTGAGGCTTGAGGAACTGAGACCACTGTAGCTTCACAAGGTAGGGACATCAGTTCTCTGTACACCGTCAACATGACCGCTAAACCCTTCAGTGCTCACACACACACACACACACACACACACACACACTGACTTCCCGCAAACCACCAAAAACCCTCCCCTAAAGACCTTCACAAACACACACACATCTGTAGACCTCATCCATTCATGTCTATATCTTTAGTCCTCAATACAGATCAGGCAGAGGAAGAAAAGTGTGTGTGACTCTGGCCTGTGCCCCTCAACGCCACACACACACACACTCACACAGCTTACAAACTTCTGGCCTTTCTCTGCGGCGCAGCTCTGTTGTGCTGTCTGACTTTTTATGGGCATGTTCTATATTTGAGCCTCTTGTCAGTGTGTGCAAGAGAGAGAGAAAGAGAGAGAGAGAAAGTGTGAGAGCAAAATAAAGTAAGCCTCTCTCTCATGTGACCTGAAGTTGGCCTGTTAACTTGATGTGTGTGTGAGCGTGTCTGTGTCTCCGTTCACACACACACACACACACACACACACACACAGACTTTCACAACCCAGCTGGTCTCCCATTGTCGCCCTCCACTCTACCTTTGATCCATTGCTTGTATAGGAAGTCAAGGCTTGGACGCTGAGCTATTGTAACACACTGAGCATATTCGCTGCCCATCAAATAATGTGAGCAGACGTTTTTGATCCTTTTGTCGGCTCATTCTCTATCTGTTTGTCTACAGTCACATATACAGTCTAATCCATGTAGTCATATGTACATTTGCATTTAGAATCACTTTGCTGATTCAAATTGTTTTGTTCAGCTCAGTTCAGAGATTGACTATGTAGTTCAAACAGTAAGCAATCACATATCATAACACAATGACTTTAAGGTGCTGCTTTAGTTCAGATTCTTGTTAAGTTTTACTGAAAAGATTAATACCCCTCTCATACTTGTACAGCAATCATGAAGCTGCCTCCAGTCTTTCTGCTAAGCTAACTGGGTGCTAGCACTAGCTTCATGAAGCCAGTTCTGACCAGAGGTTAACTAGTTTGCTCCCCAGCGATGAAACACTTCATTGTTTTTTCTGTGTACAATTAATATGAAGTTACAACTATCAAACAATTAGCTTAACTTAGCATAAAGACTGGAAGCAGGGGGAACAGCTAGCATGTCTCTGTTCAAAAGTTGGCTGTATTCTAGCTTGTAACCCCCAATAAAACCACAACCACGTCTTTTTATTCTTCAGTTTTTGTAAACAAACGAGATATATAATGAGCTTTAGAGGTGCAGGAAGGTGGATTTTGTTACATCGTACAGAACCAGGCTAGACGTTCCCCCTTTTTCCAGTCTTTATGCTACGCTCCTGACCTACAGGCAGAAATTAAAATCTGCTAATCTTGTGTTCAAGACTGCAGCTTTGACTATACTGATTGGAGTATTTTTGAGGATGCAGCCACAGACCTGGACAAAGTCACTGACACTGTGACATCTTATATCACTTTTTGTGAGGACTTGTGTGTGCCGACTAAAACCCTCTGCAGAAACAAGAACTACAAACCCTGGTTTACAGTAAAACTCAGGCAGCTTCGTCAGACCAATAAGGAGGCCTACAGAAGTGAAGACAGAATCCTGTATAACCAGGCCAGAAACATGCTAACAAAAGAGGTCAAAGCAGCAAATAGGAGCGAAGCTGGGAAACAGGTTTTCAACCAACAATCCCGCATCAGTGTGGAAAGGCCTGCAGGTCATCACCTATTACAGGATACCATACCCCCACACATTGGAGAGCCACCAACTGGCTGACAGCCTGAATGTGTTTTACTGTAGGTTTGAAAAGCCCGCAGACACACCCCTTACCCCTACCTCTCCTGCTCTAACATCAGGATTAAATTATTACAGGCCTGTTGCCCTGAAATCTGTAGTCTTGAAGTCCTTTGAAAGAGTGGTGTTGGCCCACCTGAAGGACATTACAGGCCCCTTGCAGTTTGCCTGCAGGGCTAACAGGTCAGTGGATGATGCAGTCAAAATGGGACTGCACTCCATCCTACAACACCTTGACTCTCCAGGGACATTTGCAAGGATCCTGTTCATGGACTTCTGCTCAGCATTCGGCACCATCATCCCGGACATCCTCCACATCAAACTCACCCAGCTCGCTGCCTCCACCTGTCAGTGGATCACAAACGTCCTGACCGACGGGAGGCAGTAGGTGACAGTCAGCACTGGCCCCCCAGGGGTGTGTACTCTCCCCACTGTTCTTCTCTCAAGAGACCCGTCTGCCATACTCCTGAAGTTTGCAGATGACACAACAATCATCAGCCCCATCCCGGACAGTGATGAGTCTGCATTCAGACGGGTGGTTGATCAGCTGTCTCTCTGGTGTGGTCACAACAACCTGGAGCCTAACACACTTAAAACTGTGGAGATGATCGTGGTCTTTAGGAGGATCTGATCACTCTGATGAACAGTTGACTCCCGACTCACAAGTGTCAGGAACAATCCCTGTGCTATAACCCTGTGACTCTGACTCTAACATCGGCCTGTATACTGTTTACTATTTATTAATCATTGTGGTAATTCAGTAGCTATATACTGTATCATATCCACCTACCTCATGTACATAGTAACATCTGCTCAAAAATATTTAATTATTCCAGCATCTTTGCACTCTGCTCCATTACACCATTGTCTTGTCAAATGTTGAAAAATGTTGTTTTATTTGTGTTTGTGTGTATGTGTGTACTGTACACTGTAGTTTGTGTCTGTTTGTGCTGTTTGTTTATGCTTGTTCTGTGTATGTACACTGAGAGCAATGTAAGACCTGCACCAAATTCCTCATACACTCGTACATACACGTACAAATACCTGTCCCTTACAAGTGATTCAGATTCTGATTATGCTAAGCTAACTGGCTGCTGGCTGTAGCTTAATATTTAACATACAGACATGAGAGTGGAATCAATCTTCTCATCTATCTCTCAACAGGAAAACAACTAAGCATATTTCCCACAGTGTGGAAGGCTGATCTGACAATACCAACATCATTCACCAGTGGTCTGAGTGCTCCTACTTGCGAGGAACAGCAGGAGAAAACATCTTAGGATTGAAGCTGTTTTTGTTGGCAAATTGATGAAGGGTCTTACATGGAAAATTGACTCTGCCCTCTGTTCTGGCTCGATGCCAACATGCAAATTTGCCAGAATATTTACGGGGCACATTGCACTTGCGAATACAGCTAAAGGTTGAATAAGTCTTCTTTGCACCATCCTACTTCTTCTCTCACTCCGTCCCAGCCCATATGTCTGTCTCCCTCATCACTGTGCAGCATGATTGAGTGAGGGGAGGTCCACACTCTGACTTAAGACTCATAGAATACATGTCATGCTTCCAGTGGGAGACATGATGAGGTTGTTGTTGTTCTGTAATGTAGAGAGGGCCAGACACTTGCAATCATTTGTTGGAGAATGTGCCCTTTATTAATTTTCACATAAATACTAGAGCTAAAACGATCACTTGATTGATCGATTTGTCGTATCTTCAACTTTTTTGATAACAAGTTTATTTTTAAAGCCATTCATGCTGTTTCCAGCTTCTCAAATGTGCGTATTTAATGCTTTTCTTTGTTGCCTTTGATAGTAAACTGAATATTTTAGGGCTTCTGGTCATACATTTAAAGATGTATACTGGATTTATGAATCCATGATTGGCAGTTTTCATAATTTTGTAGACAAAAAAACTAATCTTTTAATTGAAAAAATAATTGGCAGAATAATCAATAATGAAAATAATAGTTATTTGCAGCAAAAGTAGAGAAAATTGTAACTTGGTGTACAGATAAATACTGAAATCTGAAAGAATAAACTGAATAAAGAGGGAGAAAGGTGATCAACTAATGTTTTTTTTGTGATTCATGAATTGGTTTAACTCAAATCATCAGTATATTCCTACTCAGCAAACAGTCAGTATGGTAAGGTATATGTTTTGGACAGGGGGAGATATTTTGCATCAAAGCTGCTCGCATACAGATATTAGCTGGATTTATTGAGAAGCTGGAAGGCAGAGAAAGGAGCATCTATCTTAGTTTATGGAGATCATGTGTATGTGATTGGGGAAAGAATTTGTTTGAAAAAAGAAAGTGTTTTTGTGTGTGCTCACTGTAGATCAGAACAAGAAAGCTGCAGCAGTAATTCAGCAATGAAACATTGTGTTCCTGAATCTATGCGTGTGTGCAGGCGCATGATAGGTAAACTGTAAACACTGGAGGAGCGGTATGCCTTACAAGGCCAGAGGAATCTCCCCATGAACCGAGGAATGTTTGTAGGGAGGGGAGCTGAGAGCCGGGAGACGAGCGATGCTGTAGCTGAGATGTAGAAGTTCCAATGGAAAAAGGCCCTGGCTAGTAAAACTAGTAGCTGTCCTAGAGTCTAGTTTAGGAATTACTGACTGGAGGCAGGCTGGCTATGGGTGGGCAGGGGAACAATGCTGGGATTGTAAAATCCAGTGTCTGAAGCATGTCTGAGAGAATTCTGTTTGTAAAAGAGGCTGTCATGTTTTACTAAGGAGGTTATCCAATATGGTTGTTTAGATATGGGGGTTTTTGTAATTTGATTTTAATGTTAAAAGTTGTAAAGTTGTTCACAGGTCTCCCACCGTAATCTCCTAAGAGCCTCCTCTTTCATCTTCATGCTTTCTCCTCTCACACTGAAATCTCCTGCATCCTTGCATTGTCCTGCTGTCCTGTCCTAATTCCTTCTTCCTTCTTCTGCAGATGGAGTTTCGTGACCTGCTGAAGCCAATTTCAGATCACATCCAGGAGATCCAGAGCTTCCGAGAGCGAAACCGCGGCAGCAGCCTCTTCAACCACCTGTCGGCCGTCAGCGAGAGCATCCCTGCTCTAGGCTGGGTGGCTGTGGTGAGGAAGAACACAAATATGCACTTGCACAAACACACATGTATATAGGAAAACACACATAAGAAGATGTAAATCAGCCTATAGAAACCTAAGAAAAGCACACATACACGTGTATAAAATGATAACACAATGCCACCGACGATAATTATGTTTAACATTTAAAGTAAATATCAAAGTATAACCATGTTTGGAGTTTCATCTTTTGAACAATTTCAACTTGGAAGCAAAGACAATCTAAAAGTAAAGCTAACCACTTCTGGAAAATGCTGATGAGAAAACCTTAAATGCAATTATACAGAAATTCAAAGTAAACACATAAAAACTAAAACTATGTTGTATATAGACAGAAAAGTATGAATAAACTCAACCTACCATGTTTTTCTTCCCCTAACAACACATCAGTCTCTGTTTCCCATCAAAACAAAATCTCTTCTTCTGACTTTAGGAGTGATTATCATTTAGATTAAGATCAAAGCTCTTCCAGTTGAGAAGTAAAATATCTGGAGCTGCTTCTTATCAGCCAGTGTTTGTTGCTGTCAGGAGGGCAGTTTTCCCCACAGGACTTATCAAACATGTCACTATGTGCTCTTCTGCTTTTTACTCTCAAATGAAGACAAATCTGCTGATCGTCTTTCTTCACTTTCCCAAAGGTCTGTTAAAGAAAGCTTGGACCTCACAGCGCTGACAGTGAGAGTGTTTTCTAATGAACTTTCGTCTCTCGCAGAGTCAGAAGCCTGGTCCGTATGTGAAGGAGATGAATGATGCTGCCACCTTCTACACCAACAGAGTGCTGAAGGACTACAAGGACACGTACGTTCAGTGCCGTTATTATCCTGTTTTTGTGGTACTAGCCTATATTCTGTCAAAACAAACAGTGATTTTATGCTGTCAAACTGTGATTTTACATGTTTTAGAAAATCATAAATAACTTACATTACTGCTAACAATTTTCAATCATATAGAGTTTCAGATTTTAAAAAAATCAGTTCCAGGTAGCCTTTGCTTCCAATAATTTCCAAGCTTCCAATAAATTGTATATAATATGAAAGTGAATATGCAGACTATTAAAACTTGCTTGCGTTGTGTAATTCATCACAGTGAACATTAAGTTTGCATTCTTTTATGGTAATGTAGGTGAATTAGAGTGAAATGGATAGTTTTCAGTGCATTGCCTCATCGCAATGATGTTACTTTGACAAAAAATAGGGCAGACTTAATCACTTCACTGTGATAAATTGGGTATTGTTATAATATTACAACATTACAAACATATAATAAACATGTAATAATATTTTTATATTCTACGTACAGTGAACAATTGCACAATTTATAATGAATATTCTGCAGATTCCTTCCTATTCCTTTTAAATACTGTAATTTTTTAAATCATACCTTTTACGTAAATTACTATTTTATATTTATGTTGTTATGATTCCTGACTTTTGCAGTACATTTATTTCTTTTCTCTAACTATGTTCATTGTTATGCACCAAAACACCAAGTCAAATTCCTTGTATGTGAAAACCTACTTCGCAATAAACCAATTTCAGATTCTGACTCTCACACAAAGCTATTTAAATAGCGGCAACAATGAAGAAAAAAGTCAAAAAAGTAATGCCTGCACACTGACTCTAATTCACAAAATATTTATAAATAGACAACTTTTCGATTCAATTAAGATCTTTGTCAGGTCAAAAACATTAAACATTAAACATGAACGTAATGCGGATTGCACAACTAAAGCAAGAATCTGCCAATAGATTTTCATATGATCGGACATTAATGGAAAGCCGTTACTGCCTGTAACAGTAGGAATAATACATTGAACACAACATCGTGGTTTGCCAAATGGTTAGTTGTGAGTGTCACTATGCTATGAATTCTGTAAATGTAAGAACTATGCTTCTCTTGTTGCCTTTAGGGTTGGGCGATATGGCCAAAAATGTTATCAAGATAAAACATTTCATATCATTCGATATAGATTATTATTGCAATAAATGTCAAATCATGATTTCTTTCAAGTTCAAAGGCTAATTTTTGCTCCTGAGTTAAAGCTGAAGAGACCAGGGATCTCATTTATAAACGGTGCATACATACAAAACGGCTGGAAACGTGCGTACGCCACTTCCCAGGCAATGGTTGTGATCTACAAAAAACATACTTGACGGGAAAATGTGCGTCCTGTAAGTAAACTCTGAACCATGCGTACGCACATAAAGAGGAAAAATGAGAAACGGCGACTCACATGGCAGAAGGATGAAACTGTTTGAAATGAATAGGCCTACTACTGTGTAAAATATATCGAAATATCACCTCTGAGTATTGAAGCCTTTCTGAATAAAAAACACCGGTTTGATTGACTTTCCCTGAAGTGCGCAATAAAAAAACATAATTTAAGATCATTTGCGTTTCATTTACAAAAAGAACCATGACTGAGGATAAATAACACAATTGGAGATATCTGTTTCTGCAAAAGAACACCTCAAATATGTTGGACAGTTTAATCAGGAGTCATATTAATTAATAGGCCTACAAGTAGGCCTATTAATTAATTTGAGGACAAATTATATTTAAATTGATGCCGTTTTCAATGTGTCAGTCGAGCAAATACGAGAACATAGTTTCATGTTTCTGCCCCTTCCTGCAGATCATTATCTGCAGGAAGGTGCACAAGCGTTGCATGAAAGTGCGTTTTTTACCCACCAAACACCATGCTTCAGCTTCACTAAAAGGAACATGAGTGTCACACTGAGTTAAATCTCGTTTTGTAGCTTCTTTGTCAGAATTTGCCTCGTTTTCTTCCTGCAGTCAGGACGTATTAATATTAATGAGGGGAGTTTCACTGACCATTTATAGGCAACTATGGGTGTTTGAAGGGTCGGCCATGGAGCTCCCTCACATGCGCCACATTTCAAGTTGATTGTGATTTATAAAGGGAACTTGCTTACAAGTGTGTTTACCCCCCGTAATCTAACAGAAACAAACACAGGTCATGCAAATAGCCGGTAATACAGGAGCACTAGGAGTATTTGATGGCTCTCTTATAAAGATAAACTTTTTTTATCTTTCATTTATTAATGTGTAGGCCTATATCATAATGTATTCTCTTGAAAATTCTTTATTGTTAAATGTGTGTTGAATATAAACTCCTCTTAGGAATTTCACCATTCAATATGAATTTATCTGAGAATATTCTTAAAGAAGGAAATCTATTCATGATTGGTCCTTGGCGACATCGTCATCCAAAATCCTGTTTGCAGCACAGCAAAGTGTGGTAAATCAGCACTAAGGCTGACACTTAAGATTTAGTCCTACACTTCACTCAAATTAGGACTATGATGCTTGATAACTAACTTTTAAGCACAGCTTTGAGACAAGAATTTCTTTACTCTTAAGTCAGTTCTTAGCAATGTTCTTATGAGTAATTCTGAGAAGCTTGATAAATACGGGCGCTCATATTTATCAAGCTTCTCAGAATTACTCAAGAGTTGGCTTAAGAGTATAAAAATTCTTGGCTCAAAGCTGTGCTTAAAAGTTAGTTATCAAGCAACCTAGTCCTACTTTAATTGCGCCGGCTTTTTTCAAGAATGCTTCTCTTGGATTACAAGGGGTGTTGTTGGGAAGACAGTGTGTGGACCTGTAAGTGCCATAATTGCGTCCATGACAGTTCGGCCTATAAAAGGTTGCGATGTCCTCAAATCTTCAGCATTGCATTTCTGCATTTGTCCTGTGATGAAGAAACGGAGCGTCATCACCACCAACCGATACTGTGAAATTAACTGCACATTGTTAAATAATTCAGAAACATTCTTCCTCTTCTGAAAGATTTGCACATGTGTGATTCTTAGCTTTAAGACATTTGATACCTTATTTTTATACTTAAGTTTGAAAGTAGGAGTAAATTTAATGAATTCTCAGCACTTAAGACTAAAATGGCACCTTGAGAAGCTTGATAAATACCAGCCCAGATGGTTAATTGTGATTTTAAACTTTTCTTTATGGTCAAACACTTGCTGCCAAACAGTGGATCACTTAATCTGAGGATGAACATTCAAAACAATTACGATAAAATCTTTTTTTAACAAATGTGCATGAGTAAAATTTGGTGAAATCTTTTTTCAGTCCCTTTTCCTCAACAAAATAAATATCTTAATAGAAATATTAAGTGCTACTTCATATGTGATTCAAATGAATTAAATCAAACATTTATTGACTGATTGATTGACTGACATTACTGCTTCAGTCCATCCTCATGTCCACTTCTTCCCTTTGCTGCTACCCACTTTACTGTTAACCTCATCTTTCTCTTTGTTTGCATATCGTATCTTTGCCTCCCACTCTCACTAACCTTCCACCTTCCCTTTTCTCCCAGCGACAGACGTCATGTAGACTGGGTGCGTTCCTACCTGTCAATCTGGACCGAGATGCAGTCTTTCATTAAACAGCATCACACTACAGGACTGGTGTGGAGCAAGATTGTGAGTACTTCTACATATATACTGTAAATTATTTTTGGAGTATTAGTATTACATATACATCATCCTCTGAATGTTGACAATACACATGTCTGAAAACAATTAGTTTATTAGCTTGTTTATTATCTTAGCTGTGTTTTCATTTAGTCCTCCATTCGCAGGCCTTGATATTTTTATATCAGAGCTCAAATTAACTCCTGTTTTCTGCGCACACTTCCATTTTTAGTTATGGAGCAGTCGTTACATAAACCACTGCAGAGGGCATGAATGAATGAATGAGCTTCTCTCCAGTGGTTCTCCATAGAGTTCACAAAGCCTCTGTCACTCCCACACACACTTCTGTTTATGGATGTCTGCTCTGGGACTCCTCGGGCACACACACTCACTAGATCCCAGAGATTATGATGGCTCGAAACCAAATCCTTCAACACACACTTGACCCTTTTTCTCGTTTCTAGAAGGGTTTCTCAGTCTCATTATTCCCTGAAGGAAAGCTGACTGAGGCTTCTCTATGTGTTGGCATCTAATACCCACACAAACACAAAAAAGTTGTTTTTCTTGAAGGAATAGTTTTGAAATTACACTTATTCACTTTTATTTTATTTTGCACTTCCTGAGAGTTAGATGAGAAGATCAATACCACTCTCTGTACTGTTAACACAAAGCTTTCAACGAGGAGACATTTAGCGTAGCCTAGCATAAAGGAAATAGGTGGAAACAGCTATGGCTCTGTCCAAAGGTACCAAATATGGCTACCAGCACATGTCACTAATTATCATGTTACATCTTATTTATTTAATTCATACAAAAAAAAGTGTAATTGTTTTTGAATTTATGAGGGATTATGTGCTGATAGCATAGACTGTATATAGGTGTATTTTAGCCTTTTCTAGTCTGTCTTTACGGTAGGCTAAGTTTCGATAACCACCTGCTAGCTGTAGCTTCATATTTGCCATACATACATGAGAGTGGCATCAATCTTCTCAACTAACTCTTTAAATTAAATACAAGTGAATAGGCGTATGCCTAAAATGTTTAACTGTTTCTTTAACATCAGATAATTAGCTTAAAACCTCAGGTGAGGCTAATGCTCAACAACTGTGCCTGCATGTGTTTTCACCATGCAGAAACTTGAGAGTTTGCAGTGGCCGTGTGTCAGCTGTTGTCCCTGCTGTCAGACGACAGAGCTGAAGTGTGTGTGTGTGTACAAGGCCGGGAATGTCTGGTACTAACAGGTGGTCCTCAGGGTTTACTTGAATGGGGGTTTTCTTCATAGAGGAACCCCGACAAAGAGTCTGTGTACACACACTGCCTGCGCCGTAACCTAAACTGCAGGGCTGGTCCCCCTTCAACACAGCTGTCATCTGCTGCTCAGATAGGGGTTTAGTGACAGGCCTATACTCTGACATGCACAGGCCGACAAATGGAGGTGGCTTTACACTCACACACACACACATGCACACAAAACCAGTCATATTAGTGCTTCAGATCAGGCTCATGGCAAAAAGGAATTTAATATTTTATAAAAACATGACGATGACGATGATGAAGATGTGCTCCTGTAGGCAATTTGTGGGCCCGTCTGACCAGTTAAGGACATTCTGGAGAAAACTAGGTTGACTTTTGATCAATCTAAAGCAGGGCTACAAATCATTCATCATTTTAATTATGGATTCATCTGAAAATAATTCAATTCAACTCAATTAATCGATTAATTGTTTGGCCCAGAAAATGGTATCACAACTTCATAAATCCCTAGGTGAAGCCTTCAAATGGCTTGTTTTATCCAACCAACAGGTCCAAAACCCAAATATATTCACTTTATGTATTCGATTATCAAGATGGTTGCCAATTAATCTTCTGTCAGTCGAATGATTGATTAACTGCTTTAATTTCAATTCAGTTCACTCTGGCTTTATTGGCATGAATGTAAAACAACAATATTGCCAAAGCTACAAATAAATTACAAAAGAACAATTCATTTTTAGACAGTAAAAGTGTGTGTGTGTGTGTGTGTGTGTGTGTGTGTGTGTGTGTCTGATGGTTACTCTTGTTTGAAGATTTAATATGAAATTCATCTCAGAGGTACCAAAACTGACCAAACACCCAGCCTGTTTGCGTAGACAGACACAAACTGGCTCCAATCGAGTGGTATGCGCAGAGCTGTAACAGGTCAGCATTGTTCAGCGATGATATTCACGACACATGTGCCTCGTGTCAAAGTAAGTCAAGTAGTCTCAGCTATACTCAGAAGCGCGTAAAGTGACAGTTCAACCCTTGTGATAGGTGTGTGTGTCTGTCTCTGGTAGCTGTGCTAGGTCTTCAGACAGCGAGTGTGTATGTGTGTGTCTACTTCTCCTCACTGCAGTAGTCAATTATGGCTGTGCACTTATACACTCTTCTGCTCATCAGTTTAAGAAAAGTTGTTATTCATTTAATATAGACATATCAGGGTGGACTGACGATAACCAGAGCACTAATTACAGGACCTCATTAGCCTGATTACAAACTTATACTCACCGACACCGTGTTCAAAGCCACAGAACTTTATTTAAAATTGTAGTGGAGAACAAACTTTCTAATGAGACTAAATATGTGTGTGAATTGTACTGTAAACATCATATAGCTCCAATAAAGAGCTGGAACAGAAAATACATGTGGTTCTGACAGACAGAGAGAAATAAGATGGCTTTACAGTAACAACCTTAAAGCTACTTAAGGACATAAAAGTGTTTTCCCATCAACTAAGTAAAAGATGGTTTCATCTACATGTACTTGTATTACATGTACAGTACATCCAAAGCACCGTCAGTAACTGGTAAAAAGACATGAAGTATTGCCACCAAGCTTGTATTTCTTGTATAATACATCCCCTGCTGGCGAGACTTGTTACTACAGCTGTTACCTACAAAACACCTGGGACCGCTGTGTCGTCTCTCATGTAAAAAAAGGCTAAATGAGATGTTGCTAGCTAACATTTCACTTTCTCCATCCACCCCAGGGTCCTATTGCTCCTCCTTCCCTCTTTGACTCCCCCAGCGCTCCCTGCCCCCCACCTCCCCCTCCGGGCCCACCTCCGGTCTTCACCGATGATGACTCCCAGCCTCAGACGGGCAGTGTGACGCCCCAGCATTCACTGCTGTTTGCCCAGCTTAACCAGGGCATGGAGATCACTAAAGGTTTGTTTGCTCAAGGGCCTGCATGTTGTTGAGGAAAGTCAGAAGTGGTAGTAATGGCAAAAATGGATTCCTGCTTTGCACTCTCACTGAAATATAGACACTGTTACAATAATTTGTCAACATGAAATGCAAAGAGAAAAGTTCAAGAAAGGGTATACAATATGCACGCACACAGGGTCATACTGTACCTATCACTGATGACACAGAGATTATGTCTTTGGTGACATTTCTGTGAATTTTTGTGGTTTTAATTACACGAGTAGGAGTTTAGGCTCATTCAAAACATTTATGAGATTAAATATCTTGACTGTTTTTATGCAAAAAAAACAAGTTAGACCATAGTGTAGGGAGAATTTAGAGAAAATGAAATTAAACAGTTTGGTTGGTATTTCAGGTGGGTGGGGTAGTGCTGAGGGAATTAAGACTCATGACTTCAGCATGTCTGAAAACTTTCTCCCTTCATGTTTTCCATCTGTAGGTCTCAGGCATGTATCAGATGACCAGAAGACCCATAAGAACCCCAATCTACGCTCGCAAGCAACACCGACCAACACAAAGTCCACCGGGGCTGTAAACTTGCCCAGAGCAGCCGTCCAGAAAAGACCTCCTCTGCTGGAGCTGGAAGGGAAGAAATGGAGGGTGGTATGTAAAATGGTTACTGTCTCTTTAAGGGACTGTTCCCAAAGGAAGACACTGTTTTCCTTTTTACCACCGAGTCAGCTGATGTCACAGGTAATCGATTGAATCTGTTGTTGCAGGAAAACTTTGAGCAGAAACACGACCTACTGATTGAGGAGACGGAGCTGAAACAAGTGGTCTACGTCTTCAACTGTAACAACTCCACCTTGCAGATTAAGGGCAAAATTAACTCCATCATCCTGGGTGAGCTGCAGACTGAAAATATTGCTTTGTGAGTCAATTCATGAATTCTGAGTATGATTTTCTTTATTTTATTGTGCTATTTTTATTGACCCTCTCCAGATAACTGTAAGAAGCTGGGTTTGGTTTTTGAGAACGTTGTTGGGATTGTGGAGATCATCAACTCCAAGGCAATTCAGTTACAGGTGAGGAAAACATTTACAGAAAGGTTATGCGTTGGCTTCAAAAGACACACAATATTTGAAATTTAAGGTCAGCACAGCAGATCTTAAAGCATTTAGGCTATTGAAGTAACAGCACTACTTGCTACATCTCTCTCATGGCTGCCATTCTACATTTTAATACTGGTATGCTCATTTAGGTGTCAGGTCAGGTGTTATCCTGTGTTAAAACTGTGTTAAAACATCATTGGAATCAATTCATGTTTATTTTATTTTTTATATCTTAAAGTGCAAACTGTGCCACACATGCACTTCCTCTCAGTAATTGCAAGACTTCACTCTATAGGTGTTGGGAAAAGTTCCCACCATTTCCATCAACAAGACAGAGGGCTGCCAGGTCTACCTGAGTAAAGACTCCCTCGACTGTGACATCGTCAGTGCCAAGAGCTCTGAGATGAACATCCTGATACCACAAGGAGATGACGAATATGTGAGTGTCTGAGATAAGGGACAAGGAGAGGGTCGCCTCTGCCTGCTGGGCTCTGAACATGTGTTAATCCCGCATTTTCCTGAATCTTTCAAGTGTGCAGTTCTTGTTTGACAATTATCTTCTTGGGTTTCCCACAGCGGGAGTTTCCAGTGCCGGAGCAGTTCAAGACTGTTTGGGATGGCTCCAAACTGGTGACGGAGCCCACTGAGATTGCAGGCTGATCAGTGCTTCATCGTCTTCACCACTGGCACACCAATCATCACCGATGGTTTTAAAACAAAATAATCTCTCCGTCCCAGTGCTTTTATTGGGTTTCAGTGAAAAAAATAATAATAAAAATCCCTTTTCAGAGAAAAGGGATTTTCATAGGCAGGCACCGCATTGGATTGGCTTTTGGTTCCTGCTCATTGTTGCTGTATTTCATGTCTCTCTAGCACTTTCAAACATTTGATTATGAGGAACCAGTGAGTAGGTTGATAATCCCTCTCTACAAAGTACATCCCTACAGAATAAATACATATCTCAGGTTTAAGTCCCTCAAACCCATTTGTATTTACCTTTTCTTACATTTCTGTGCCATAGCAATAAAGGCATTTATGTAAGAATATGTAACTGGTAGCAATCTTACAAGGTCTTCTCATTACATTTTCTGGATTAGCAATATTATAACTGTAATCTCCATTCATTGTTGTGATTCACTGTATTTGAGTTGACGCACAATTTAGACCACAGTAGGGTTTTGAAAAAATATCAATTTACGATTATTTTGACACATTTTCGATATGAACATATTGAAATGAATAAGGTCTGGTTTTTGCGGAGATCTGTACCAAACAAAGATGTTTTCGTAAATCTGCAGAATATGATGTGTAGTCCGGACATCTCACGAGCACGACAATTTAATTTAAAATGGTATTTTGACAACAAAACAAGAATTGCGCCTCCTGCAATTTGAAAATTGCAGTAGGCCATGTTGCAATTTTGATAAACTTTCGATTAATTGTTCAGCCCTAAGAAGTAGCACATTATTTTACAGAAAAGGCTAACGATCACACAATATGCACATACAACATTTAGTGGCCAAGCAGACAAGAATAACTTGGGAATTAAGTGTAGGACTTCTTGGTATATTTTCAATCTGATGAAGTGTATCTTAGTTACCTCTTTATATGTGTATCAAGCATGATAGTCATGTAGTACCGTTTCACTTAGTGAGTGAATTTATGCAGCATTGTTAACTATATTTTGCAATAACAGCAGATGTCACATTCTGGCTAATGCAAAACACTATATGTAAAGTGTAATCAGTAAGCCCAGATGGATGTAATATCATGTGTTCAGCAGGAGACATTAAATCAACTTAATTATTAACTAAATACGTGGCTACCAATTACTCTGCATAGTTAGAAATCAAGCTTTCACACTTAAGCACTTCCGTCTCTATATGACTTTGTACATCCGTCTGTTTTGTAGGATGTAGCACATGGCACCATCATAAGGGAGAAGATAGTGAACACTACTAAAGCTTTTAAAACATTTTAATTCACATGAAAACAATTTGATGTAACTGTGTATTGTTTTTCAAATAAAATCCAAACCCTCAGTTCTCGCTTGTTTGTGTTTTTGCAAAAGAGAGCATCGCATTTCAGCATGACAGATCAAAACAGGAAGAAAATATGATTATAACCCCCCCCGGAAAATACAAGATCTACAGATGAAGAAAGTCAAGAAGATAGTCACAAAAAAAATCTATTATTTTTTGTTTTAAAGTAGCTAAAAGTAAATCAGTCAATATGGAAACAAACAAACAAACAAGTGGTTTCACTTTTATAACTGCTCTGGCAGCATGGAAAAAAAATCATTTAAAAAGCAGGGATCAATTATTCACATCCAGACTAGAATAGCATAAGACTCATGAGTTTCAAAGGCTCCTTTCAGTGTTTGATCACCATATTTCCCTGAGAGTCTTGAGTAAAGAGCATCTCGTCTTCCTCGTCCTCCTCCACCAGAGATTTATAAGCACTACTTCTTACAACCCCAGTGCTTATGTTACTCTGATCTTTGAATGGACTCCTGGCTTGCAGACCTCTGTGTGCTATCACCCTGAAGCCTTCAGAGTCCTGGGTGAACAACATAGCCAGACTGTCCTCGTCGAAAGCTCTGCACGACTGCTGTGCTGACAGTTTTTTAAGGGGAGAGCTACTCTGTTTTGTCCACTTGAACTGCGAGTCAGGGCTCTCTTCTTTATCTGCCTTTTTCCACAGGTGCACTGGAATATGTTTTCGAGGTGATGCGGTTTTTGGTTCTGCCCATTTATGATTTGAAAGAGGTTCAATATGAGACAGAGTTGAGTGCTTGCTTGGGGACTTGGACGACAAAAACCTGCTGTTTTCTTTCTCATCATCCAACTGAGAAGAATGAAATTGTTTAAGGGATTTTTGAGTCGACGTTCTTACTTCGATATCCGTCAGAATACCAAAGGCCTCCTCACTTTGTAGACTGTTAAGGAAACTTGGTTCAGAGTCACTAAAGTTCTTGGCTGTGTTGTTTTTCTGATTAGTCGGGTAAAATTCACTTTCAAAATATTGGCTACAGGAGAGCAATGGGTCTTGACTCCAAGCCTGTGGAATAGGTTGACTGTCGCCTGGTACTGAGGAGGTGGCAGTGAGCCTCCTCTTACACTGTGGTGGATTAATCTCCTCAAACTCCTCTTCTTTAAATTCACAGTCCATGTTCTGGGAAGTTGTGTTGCTGGCTGCCTGCTCCTGCCACACTGCTGCTTCAGGCTCGGGCACATTTTCACTTTGCCATTCAGCCTCAGAGTTATACAAGTTAAACATTTCAAGGTCTACTTCACGTCTTCGTTTTGTCCCCGATGCTACAGGTGTGGGTGCAGTTAGGGAAGATGTGGACGAGGTAGATGATGAAGAAGGCAGCACTGGATCCATGTTTGGTACTTCAGAAGAAGACATCTTATTGAGAACTTTTGGCAGAAGTATAAAAAAAAAAATCATGTTAACAAAAATGAATGGAAGGTGTCAACTTACACTATCAAGCAAGTGGACAGTGTACTGCAGCTTTATCAGACTGAATCAGCTGAAGATGATAATAATTCTAAGAAACTCTTTGTAACTTACCTCTGCGCTGTGTGGTGAAGAAGGTTGATATAGAGCTCTGTTTGGTCTTTGGTATTTCCAGTTTGGTCTGAGTGAAGTTGAGTGCCACAGCCAAACTGTATCCCCCACCTCCAGTGAAGGGATTTAGCAGTTTAGAAATGGGACGAGTGAGTCGTTTCTAAAACACAAGGTTCAGAATAAAATTTTATCCTACTAAGAAACTTAAATGGAATAACAGAGTAAGAGGCTACTAATCTGATTAGGTTGCTTTCTACTAGTGTGTGTCATCTGCCAGTTAGGAAGTAGTACGTTTCCCCAATTACCTGTTTAGCTTTTCCTTTTAGTTGCACAGTGTCCAGCCAAACACCACATTCCTCTTGAGCAGATGTCTGCAGTGCTGGTTTGGAGGTCTTCATGGTGGTGATCTGCAATACATTAAATAAAACTATTGTTTGAGTAGGGTAAACTAGATATTCATTTCAAAAAGGTTATTTGTCTTACATTAACGTTTGTTGTTTTTATGTTACAATCAGCTTGGTACTACTGCCATTTTCCATTTACTTTCGGTATTATTAATGCACACAATAACTTTACCATAATTGTAAATTGACAGTTAAGTTAGCTAACAGCTAACGTCTCTGGTACGTTAGTATATAAGTCAACACGATATAACGCCAATGATCATATCGTATTTTAACTTACCTCATAAAATTGCACAGGGATGTTCTTAGCCTTCTTTGCGCTTACTGTATCGTAACTAACTTAACGTTATTAAATAGTCTTCTTGTTGAGAAATCGGTCCTCGTTGTCGTTGTTGTTGTATGTTTGAGTTTGGCGCGTCTGGCGCCTTGACGATGAGCTGCCTCTGATGTTTGACTGTGTAAAAACAACAACTTGTGGTTGAGCCTTTAGGTCCGTTCTTTACTGCAACAGCTCAATTAAAATGTCAGATAGAAATAGCCCATCTTTAAACTACGTATGTTTGATACGCCAGTAATAATCTTTAAAATTATTAATTTTTAGCGAGGCACGAAGGACACCTAATATTTGACGTTTGCTGGTCCTTGCAGAAGGGTGTGTTTACATTGACGTCACAGCAGTTTGCCGAAAGGGTGAGTAAAGTGTCTTTTAATTTCGTTGATTTAACACTGATACTGAACTATTGTTAACATGCTGCGGTCATCCTACCTGTTACTATAATACTTGTCACTCATATAAAGTTAAGTGTTTACAAACAACTGCCTGTATGGCCCAGTTCTAATAAATCATAAAGGAAGTGCACCGAGCTAGCCCGAAAGCTAACTTCGGGTTAGCTAGTTTGGAAAAACAAAATATTGAAGGCTGATGATCTGCTTTCTCCAGCAGGAAGGTTTTCATCTAATTCTTAGTGGATCAGCATGTTCTTTGACTGAACGTTAATGACACAAACAACACATTGAATCTCAGCGTAACAGCATTATTCTGTGGTGTTTATCAGTTAAAGTGTTAAACAACGAACAGCGGCATGTCGCCCATAAAGCTGGAAGTAAATAAAACTAAGGTTGAGAATTATCAGATTTATATGCCCCTGCTTAAAATGATAAATACACAATATGAGCCTGAGTGGGGAACGGTGTAACCGTTGATCCAGTTGAATTATATTACGTTGCAGTGCCATAAATCTCTCTCAACACTTGACTGGGTTTCCTTTAGGAAGTTGTTTAGCCGAGATGACATCTCCTTCTGATGCATCTCATCTGGCCTAAACAATAGTCACGCTTTTTACATATTTGGCATTTTCTAGAATTGCGCCAAAGCTATTCTTTCCTGGAGGTTGTTGTTTACTGCGTAAAAGTGTTTATTTGCCAGTGGAGGGTTGAGGAGGTGTGTCAGACACAAACCATAGTACCAAAAAGTAGATCTTCTAGGACTCGACCGATAAATCAGTGTGCCGATTTTATCAGCTGATATGAACTAATTGCAGATAAATCAGTATCAGTATACAGATGATAAATGACAATTCAAAAAGACACAGAAGACTGATCCTTTGATCTTGTTATGAGTGTTGTCTTTGAAGTAGTTTGTTCACCAGAGGGCACAGCAATATGCTGACATAATCAGCTGAACTTTTGTTTGAAGTGACTATTGACTATTTATAACAATAAATCAATAAATAATAAATAAATAATAAAGTGTATTTTAAAATTGCATTATGTCATGTTATGCCTTTTAATTCATTCTAAAATCCTTCAAGCACAGTTTTAGTTGTTACAATCCACTCCTTTATTAAGGGAGCTGCTCCTGTATTGGACACATGTCTATATATAAATAATAATTTGAGAGAAACACACCCATTAGTCAGGACAGTCCGAGCTATGAAAAACATAATTTAAGATATGACTTGAACAGATACAATTGTGGGGAAAAAAACTTGTATAGCGTTTTGTTAATTTGCAGTTCAGTTCAAATTGTAACATCAGTCCTTTTCAGATCAAGTTCTGATACATCAGCATCATGTTCCATGGGATACCCAGTACAGGAGGTGTAGGAGGAGGTAAGACATTAAAATAAATCTAATGTCTACGATTTTGGTATTTTGGTATTTCATGAATAAATGACCATTAATGTCACTCAAAGTATTTTGTTGTTTTTTTCCCCACAGCTCCTGCCAATAAACCTGAGTTATATGAGGTAAGCAACAACCTTTTTTTTGCTTTAATTAAGGATTGGCAAACAGAATTTTAAATCTTAAAAACATTAAAGAAACACAATCGTATATGGAATTATAACAATTATCTGGTTACTCATTTTTTCAAAGTGTTCACTGAAATTTACCTGAAAGAAAATCAAACCTACCTTTTTGTTGCTGTTACTTCTACCAGAAATGCTTCATTGAATCTAAATTAAAACCACCAGGAATATGTGATATTCTGCTTGTTAGCCGTGCAAGACCTTCATCACAAATCATGTCTTTTCAGGAAGTGAAATTATACAAAAATGCAAGAGAACGAGAGAAGTAAGTGTCATCTTTAATACCATTTACCAGCCTAATATGAACACAGAGGGATTCATAATGTAGCCAGTGTTTTAACACCTTATATTAACTCCGTTTCTGAAGGTACGATAACATGGCAGAGTTGTTTGCTGTTGTGAAGACCCTTCAGGCACTGGAGAAGGCTTACATCAAAGACTGTGTCACACCTAATGAGTGAGTTATACTTGAGTATATATTTTATGTTTAAAAGACTGACAAACTTACCACCTTTAACGTTTGATTGTATGTTTTCATTAATGTGCAGGAGTTGTCTGTTTCAGATACACTGCCTCCTGCTCCAGACTGTTGGTTCAGTATAAGGCTGCTTTCAAACAGGTGCAGGGCTGCGACGTGGGCTCCATTGATGATTTCTGCAGGAAGTACAGGGTGAGTTCTTGTTTAGAGATTATTTTATGACCCTTTTGGTTGTGAACATAATGGGCCGTGCAGTTGTTCTACCAGTCTTTAGATACAGTGAGGGAAAAAATTATTTGATCACCTGCTGATTTTGTATGTTTGATCATTTCTTTGTCAGTGGGCAGTCTATAATTTTAATGGTAGGTTTATCTGAACAGTGAGAGACAGAATAACAACAAAGAAATCCAGAAAATGCATGGCAAAAATAAATTGATTTGCATTTTAATAAGTGAAATAAGTATTTCATCCCCTCACAATCAGAAAGATTTCTGGCTCCCAGGTGTCTTTTATACGGGTAACGATCTGAGATTAGGAGCACACTCTTAAATGGAGTGCTCCTGTTACCTCTATAAAAGACACCTATCCCCAGAAGCAGTCAATCAATCAGTTTCCAAACTTTCCACTGTGGCCAGGACCAAAGAGCTGTCCAAGGATGTCAGGGACAATCTTGTAGACCTACACAAGGCTGTAATGGGCTATAAGGCCATCACCAAGCAGCTTGGTGAGAAGGAGACAACAGTTGGTGCGATTATTATTATTACGGTATTATTATTCGCAAATGGAAGAAACAAAAATCTACCTTGATCTGGGGCTCCATGTGAGATCTCACCTCGTGGAGTGAGGAATCAGCCCAGAACTATACTAGAGGATCTTGTCAATGATGGCAGCTGGGACCATAGTCAACAAGAAAACAATTTGTACCCCGTGAAGGACTTAAATCCTGCAGCACCCGCAAGGTCCCCCTGCTCGAGAAAACACATCTACAGGCCGGTCTGTAGTTTGCCAATGAACATCTGAATGATTCTGAGAAGAAATGGGTGGAAGTATTGTGGTCAGATGAGACTTTGGCATCAACTCAACTTGCCATGTTTGGAGGAAGAGGAGGAATGCCGCCTGTCACCCCAAGAACACCATCCCCACCATCAAACATGGAAGTGGAAACATTAAGCTTTAGGGATGTTTTTCTGCTAAGGGGACAGGACAACTTCACCGCATCAAAGGGACGATGGACAGGGCCTTGTACTGTCAAATCTTGGGTGAGAACCTCCTTCGCTCAGCCAGGGCATTGAAAATTGGTCGTGGATGGGTATTCCAGCATGACAATGACCCAAAACACACGGCCAAGGCAACAAAGGAATGGCTCACAAAGAAGCACATTAAGGTCCTGGAGTGGCCTCGCCAGTCTGCAGATCTTAATCCTATAAAAATTCTGTGGAGGGAGCTGAAGGTTCCAAACATCAGCCTCAAAACCATAATGGCTTCGAGAAGATCTTTATAGAGGAGTGGGACAAAATCCCTCCTGAGATGTGTGCAAACCTGGTGGCCAACTAAAAGAAACGTCTGACCTCTGTGATTGCCAAAAAGGGTTTTGCCACCAAGTACTAAGTCATGTTTTGCAGAGGGGTTGAATACTTATTTCGCTCATTAAAATGCAAATCAATTTATAAAATTTTTGACATGCATTTTTCTGGATTATATTTGTCATTCTGTCTCTCACAGATAAACCTACCATTACAATTATAGACTAATCATTTCTTTGTCAGTGGGCAAACGTACAACATCAGCAAGGGATCAAATAATTTTTTCCCTCACTGTATATTCTATTTCTGTTGTAAGCATGTGACTCTTCTCATTTTGTTCCTTAGCTCGACTGCCCACTTGCCATGGAAAGGATTAAGGAGGATCGGCCAATCACCATCAAGGATGACAAGGGCAACCTGAACCGCTGCATTGCAGATATAGTTTCTGTACGTCCTCTGTCCCCTCCATTATATTAAACAGGAAAAGCAAATGCAAGGCTTATTTTGGACGTGTGCCAGAATACAAATGGTGGCAGTAGAATTTTTTTATAAAATGATTTAGTGTGTTTAGTTCAAGCCATAAGTGGCTGAAGTGGCTTCACTTAATTTGGCTCATCCTCATGAAGCTCATAAAATTAGCCGATGAACTGTGTGATACTGGCAAAGACCGTGTTTCCTGTTTGTGTAAACAAAAAAAAAATCTGATTTCTTACTACTGACAGCCAAGGTTGGAAAATGTGTTATTTAATATTATTTAATATTGTCTAATTTTTTGTTGCCTTCTCTAACCTTCAGCTCTTCATCACCGTGATGGACAAACTGAGACTTGAAATCAGGGCCATGGATGAGGTACATTTAAAAAAGTGAAAAGGCCTGTCTTTAATATTGGACTCAAAACAACTGCTTAACTGATTGTTTTCCATCGATCCAGATCCAGCCAGACCTGAGAGAGCTAATGGAAACCATGAACAGAATGAGCAACATGCCTCCGGACTCAGAGGCTAAGGACAAAGTCAGCCTCTGGTTAGTTACACTGGGTCACCCAGTTTACAGTGTTTCTATCGTTAAGCCTCAATCCAGTTCAGTGCAGGATGCTAAGTACTCCTAAGTGACTATTTGTCAAGTCAAACATTGGGTCATGTCAGTGCTAAAACTTATACAATCCTGCTACCTTATTTCTTTATACATAATTTTAGGTTTATTAAAGGGTAGTCATGTCTAAATATATTGTTTTAAACCTGAGATGGATCTGAGATTGATAGTTTGCCTGTGTGACCCTTTCATGACACAGCCGAGCATCAAATAAAAAGTCATTTTTACATTCAGTGTTACTCACCAAAACGCATTATGTGTCTAACAAACATGTTTGGTGTGTTTCCTTCCTCATAAAACATTTGCAAGGCCAATCTTCCTTAAAAGTTTAAAACCTGCTTTGTTTGCATCCATCCAGCAGTCTTAAAGAATAAATAAAATGGCGACCATTTTGTAAAAACACTGCTCCGTATGGGGTAAGCCACAGTTGAAACAATGAAGCCGACCAAAGCCTGCATGGACGGTTCGATGTAGGCCCAAAAATGATGTCAAAACCCTGTGATATCCCGTTGCACATGAAAGATGTAACCGTATTGCTTAGATTGTAAACTCTGTGAATCTAAAACAACTATTTGACCGTCAGTGACACAGCGTTGGTGTTTGGTAGGTGAGCCCTGTAGACGGGCTGATTAAATAGTGACGATCCGAGTCAGACAATCACACTGAGCCAAGAAACTTTTTGTTGGTGCAGCTATGCAGCTACCAGAATCACGGTGTTTCTGCCGATGCTTCACGTCATTAAACCACAGTTATGCTGCGCGATCATGCACAATAGACACTGGTGCCAACAGGAAGTAGCCCTGTATTAGTATCTTAGTATCTTATTGGTCCAAAACTGGCTTTACTGCTCTCCATTCAGATCTCTGGGGTGGCTTTGTCCAGTAATATACAGTCTATGGTACCATTACTAGTGGTCAAAAATGCCACAGCGTACCTTTTTTCAGTATATTTATGTGTTACAAACACTGGCTTCTCTTTAGGTGCAACTGATAACTTTCCTTTGAATATTATTACGAAAATCAAAGTGGGACTTGACATTTCCTTAACTATATGTGTAAGTTAAACTACTTTTAGCATTATGTTACTAAACTGATCCATAGTAGTGCTTAACAGTTTCGTCATGACTGCCAATTACCTTGATTTACATTTTTTTTATTCCTCAGGTTGACCACCCTCAGCAGCATGTCAGCCTCAGACGAGTTGGATGATAATCAGGTGCGCCAGATGCTGTTTGATCTGGAGTCGGCCTACAATGCCTTCAATCGCTTCCTCCACTCTTCCTAAAGCATCATAAATTCTGACTCTAAAAACTCTTAAGTTAAAAATAGAAATACGCTCTCCTTATGGTTATTGGTAGAGAGTGGATTTACATCTGGACAGGGTTTCTGCCTCACAACCTCCCAATTATTTCCTGTCATTTGTTTCTTATGTCCTTTTTATTCATGTTCTATACTATTCAAACTTCACGGCCTTGTGTACTCCACTGTGTCTGGTACATTATGCTGCCTGCAGCCTTGCCCACCAGGCTCATCCTGCGCTGTGAGATCCTCCATTGGCCTGTTTTCTAGCCAAACTTGTGTGATAAATCCTTTAACATTGGCTGTTTATTCTGCCCTTGACAAAACATTTTACTTCTGACTTTGTACTGTAATACTGTAATACAAAGGTCTAATTTTCTACTTAGGTTTTTGCAGAGCACCAATAAATAAGCATGATAATTAGATTGGGCAAAGCCTGCACATGAAGAAAAGGTTACAAAACCCAAAGCCTTTGTATTATTGGAAAGATGAATATATATTTGCTTCGTTTTGGTACCCTAATTCTGTCCACTGCCTGTCACTTGGGGTCAGATTAGCATTTTTTGTTCTGTATACCATGTTTGTTCTTTTATGATACACATTTCTACTGTAGAATCCTGCAACAGTTTTTGTCGATAGAGTAGAAGAACTCGATAGAGTTTAAGATGTTTAGACTGCACTTCAAATTAATTGTATTGAAACTATGGTGGAAGGACTGATGTATGTACATTTTCTAGCCCTGTTTTCTGTTAACATACCTACTCTATATTTCCTTTAGAAGTGAGGGTTCGGCCACATTAAGTGGGCAAACTTGATCCTCCTTATTTATGCTTGCTAAATATGTTTTAACCGTCAAACAACATTAGGGAGAACATATTTATTCAGATTTATCATTGTAAATACTAGTTTTGATTTTTAAATAAGAGCATGTAACACCTTTTCAGAAATAAAGATAAAAATCTACCTCCAACTTAGTTTGCATTGTGTATTAATGTCTTAAGAAATGTAAAGAGGCAAAAGCCTACTTGCTGTACTGTTTATTCTTTCAAAGATTTGTGATTATTCTTTTTTTTATTAACTCTAACCATAAGGTTAGAGTCTAACCTCTAACCATAAGTTAGTAAAGGAGGTGTCGTGGGCCTATCAGCGAAACATTGAGGAAAGAGGCGCCCTCTTGATAACCCAGAAGATGCCATCACCCACTTGACCAACCCGCAGAGTCTAGGCAGTATGCCTTAAGTGTGCAATCTAAGGGATATTAACACATAGTCCTACATAACAGAGAATCTTATTGTTTTGACTTTGTGTTATGGTTTTATTTTTTCATCTGAATTGTTATCTTGCTACAGCACCAGTCTAATGTCTATTTAATTATATACCCAGGGACCCAGAGTTCAGTACTTCAGTACTACTATGCTGAAAAAATATTAATTAGGAGTGTGTATCATTTGAAAATCAATTGAAATCTTCAGTGCCAATATTATACACAAGTTTCAGTAACTACCAATCCAAGTTTTTTTGGATGTATTAAACCGCTGAAAGCCCACCGGCTCACCCTCTTGAGCTAGTTCTAAGCTGCTTTGATCACGAATACAAATATTTTTAACTTATGTCAGTATGGATATGCTGCACATTATTGGATTGAATAGATTCTGAACAATACTTTGTTTTGTGTAAATTGACCTCCAATTAATTAAGCCTAAGTAATTCACGCTGGTTTATATAAACAATTTGATAATAGCATATTTCCTGAGCAAGGGTTTAGCAGGAATGGAATTAAAGGCGTGTCCCATATGCCTATCTCTAGGAGAAATAATGATTAAATAAAATAAAAACCTGGGCTATTAAGTTTTAGGTATGTGTACAGACTGAAGGTTCAATACCCAAACCTAATCCTAACTGGCTACATGATTGTGTGTGTTATAATTTGATTAAGCAGGGCTACTGGGCACAATGTCAGCAGAAATAAACAAAGATAATATAAGGTCTTAAATATTGTTTTTTTGCACAGTGACAGGGCTATACAAATAACCTGATGAACACTGGACATGTTTTAATTACTTTAGTGGTGATTCCCACTTAAATATGCTATTATAGGGGTAATCCAACAGTTTAGATGGGCAACGTCCTTGCAATTGTTATTTTTTTTAAGGCTAATGGAAAAAGAAATGATGCTGCAGTGGCTTATATATTCTTATCTATTCTCTCTTTTAGCTGCTGATGTAGATCATAGTCTAAGAACACCGGTTCCTACATTTCCCATAATGCAATGCAGGTAAATTTAATATTAATGGCTTAGCCAGTGTAGATCACTGACAGTATAAAGGTTGACGCACCGTTTTTGTTCTGGCGCCAGTTTGCTGCAGAACTAAAACAAATAGAACAACCGCTCCTCGTCAAACTGACTCTAAACGAACTCTTAACATTTTGCTGGAGGCCTTGATGAAAAATGAGACCTTTTGTGTCTGTTAATAAAGGAGGTCACTGCCATCGTCCACAGATAATCTCCTTTACACACCAGATGTCTATGAATGACAGCCTCATGAGTGAGTCTAGTGTTTGTGCTGCGGCTCCTTTAAGGACCAGGCAGCAGCGTATTCGTTACCGGGACGACACAAAACGGACAAACTCTCTGGGTCGTCTGTGAGCAGCAGCAGAAGTGTGGGAGTGTCCAAACTAAGGGCAGTGAACACCTTTACAAATAACAGATTCAGCACGTTAAATAGTAGGTGTGTGAGGTTTTAAGTCACTACATGGAGTTAAAAACTGCTTCTTCCAACCGTCTGTGATTGACTGAACAGTAACGTGGCGTCTGGCTACAAGTAACGTTAGGGTCGCATGTGGGTGGCCAGATAACTTAAGATACAGAAAGACTCGACTGCTTCTTCCATTCATTTTACTGTGTTTTTACTGTGTGGAAATTATCATTCATTTTGATTCTGCCACTTATCTTGCAACTGGCTGTTTTAACACCTGTTTTCCGGACTTTCAAGACTGCCGATCTCTTCCAGGAATAATCAAAGGAGTGTGCTGGTGCTTTCTGCACTAGCAGAAGAACGAACTGTTGAAAAATGAGCAAAAAATACGAATCCGCGAACGTGTCTGAGTTGGAGGAACACATTTCTCTCAAGTATGAAATCAAGAAGAGACTTGGAAAAGGGGTGAGTTGCTTTTTGTCTCTTAATTTTATTGGATTTAATAGAAGTGGAGGTTAACTAACCCCGGGCTGTTTAATAATAACACCTCCTTATTGCTCCTCTGACTGGAGTCTCATTTACAATTTTTTTGTGAGTTGCCAAACCCTTTCAATGCAATTTCAGTTTGCAGCCTCTTACAAGTGCACACACCCCTCTTTACATTAACCTCATCTGGGCCTGTGCATTAAGGTTTATGACATATTTAAGCCATGCCTGTACTTTAACCTTAAGAGAAATTCATGTAATTCTCCAGATTTAAGGTTCTCAGTGAAAACAAGTGTTGTAAGCAAGGGTTTATTTACTTTGGCAGGACAAACTCTTTCTTTGCAGATCAGCTGATGTGTGAGGACACTTGTTCCCTAGAGTGCAAATTCTTTTTTGTTTTTCTCTCCACTGGTAGGGTTGCCACATGATTAAAAACACCGTGGTTTCTTTCCGTAGACTGTCTCCAGAGACTCACAAATTGCATTATGCTTGAAATAGGCAGGTGGTTACTGTCACGTAGTGATGTTATTTTGGCTAACTATGTACCTGTGGCCGGCTGTGACTCATGTTACACAGCTGTAGAACCTGTTTACAGTTGCCTGGTGTTTTGTTTTGAAACTTAAATGTAGTAACTCTTCTTCTGGAGTTTGAAAGATGGTAAACAGTCTGTAGCCTACTTAGCACCTTTCTAGTCTTTCCGACCACTCAAAGGGCGTTTACACTACATCACGTTCACTCACTGAATCAGAAACTAGACATACACATTCATACACTGACATCAGGAGGAAATTGAGGTTCAGTATCTTACCCAAGGATACTTTGACATGCAGGCAACGGGGGATTGAACCAGACCTTCTGATAAATGGACGACCACTCTACCCCCTGAAACAACAGCCGTTGGGTCACCAGGGCTGTGTGAATCTGATCCACTGCCTCCAATGACAGGGCTACTCTTTGTGTCTCTGCAATAACAGCGTGCTCTGATGTCCTGCCTCACTGCTGCCTCTGTTATGCTTCACTTCACTGCCTACATCACCACCATGACTCTCACATCACTATAGTCAGGACTATAGCTGCCTACCATTGAACACACAGAGGTCACGTTACCTCTTTTTTTCCTAGTAACAGAAGGGCGGTTTATGTTTTATAATTAAATGTTACACATAGTGGGTTTTTAAAAGGGAGATGCCGGCATAGTTAGAACTTTGTGTCCTTAAATTTGAAATGATTTGGGCCAAGAAAAATACATAAGATTATACAGGTGCTGCTCATATAATTAGAATCATCAAAAAGTTGATTTTATTTCAGTAATTCCATTCAAAAAGTGAAATTAAAACTGACAACTAATGAAAATCCCAAATTCAGTATCTCGGAAAATCAGAATATTACTTAAGACCAATACAAAAAAAGGATTTTTAGAAATGTTGGCCAACTGAAAAGTATGAGCATGTACAGCACTCAATACGTAGTTGGGGCTTCTTTTGCCTGAATTACTGCAGCAATGCGGCGTGGCATGGAGTCGATCAGCCTGTGGCACTGCTCAGGTGTTATGAGAGCCCAGGTTGCTCTGATAGTGGCCTTCAGCTCTTCTGCATTGTTGGGTCTGGCGTATCGCATCGTCCTCTTCACAATACCCCATAGATTTTCTATAGGGTTAAGGTCAGGCGAGTTTGCTGGCCAATTAAGAACAGGGATACCATGGCCCTTAAACCAGGTACTGGTAGCTTTGGCACTGTGTGCAGGTACCAAGTCCTGTTGGAAATTGAAATCTGCATCTCCATAAAGTTGGTCAGCAGCAGGAAGCATGAAGTGCTCTAAAACTTCATGGTAGACGGCTGCGTTGACCTTGGACCTCAGAAAACACAGTGGACCAACCACCAGCAGATGACATGGCACCCCAAACCATCACTGACTGTGGAAACTTTACACTGGACTTCAAGCAACGTGGATTCTGTGCCTCTCCTCTCTTCCTCCAGACTCTGGGACCTTGATTTCCAAAGGAAATGCAAAATTTACTTTCATCAGAGTATAACTTTGGACCACTCAGCGGCAGTCCAATCCTTTTTGTCTTTAGCTCAGGCGAGACGCTTCTGACGCTGTGTCTTGTTCAAGAGTGGCTGACACAAGGAATGTGACAGCTGAAACCCATGTCTTGCATACGTCTGTGCGTGGTGGTTCTTGAAGCACTGACTCCAGCTGCAGTCCACTCTTTGTGAATCTCCTCCACATTTTTGAATGGGTTTTGTTTCATAATCCTCTCCAGGGTGCAGTTATCCCTATTGCTTGTACACTTTTTTCCTACCACATCTTTTCCTTCCCTTCGCCTCTCTATTAATGTGCTTGGACACAGAGCTCTGTGAACAGCCAGCCTCTTTAGCAGTGACCTTTTGTGTCTTGCCCTCCTTGTGCAAGGTGTCAGTGGTCGTCTTTTGGACAGCTGTCAAGTCAGCAGTCTTCCCCATGATTGTGTAGCCTACAGAACTAGACTGAGAGACCATTTAAAGGCCTTTGCAGGTGTTTTGAGTTAATTAGCTGATTAGAGTGTGGCACCAGGTGTCTTCAATATTGAACCTTTTCACAATATTCTAATTTCCTGAGATACTGATTTAGGGGTTTTCATTAATTGTCAGTTATAATCATCAAAATTAAAAGGAATGAACACTTGAAATACTTGTCTGTGTGGAATGAATGTATACATTATACAAGTTTCACTTTTTGAATGGAATTACTGAAATAAATCAACTTTTTGATGATATTCTAATTATATGACCAGCACATGTATGTATGT